TCATCAGAAGACAAAGAAATAACCGAATAGATCATGCTATCGCTGATTTGGTAAACCTGGTCCCAATTATAATAATCTTAGTACATGATGAGGAACCTGAAGAACTTGCATCCCCAGTTACAGAAATGGGCACATAAAAATAAAAATGCAATTTGACTTGTTCAGCATAACAATGCAAGTCATGTAAATCAATATATTTAGAATCATTATTTAATATATTTCCTGGAAGGCAGGAGTATTTAGAATATAAGGCACTGAAAAATCAAGAATTTGCTCCAAAGTCCATATATGTTGAGAAATAGCACATAGTACTTACTTTGTAAGTACTTCATGTAAGTACTGTGTAAGTACTATATACTAGTTATCACAGAAGGAGACTCCTTTTCTCCACAGGTGTTCCCTTATGGCAGGACAGTCATTAGACAAATACTTCTGGCCTTTCTGCACCTTTTCAGACTTTCCAGGAGAAAGAGATTTGTGAGTTTGGATTACAAAGCTTACTCTACTTGGCCAGCTCCTTCTTCGTTTTTTTCTGCTTTGGAACCTGCTTGCCTGCAGAGATCAGTCATCTTGTTCTTCCATCCATGACTTAGCATTTGACAATTTTGTGTATTTTATCCAGTAATGTCTCTGACTTGAAGGCTGAATGTGCCTCATTCTGAACTTCAGTATTGAGTATAATACTTGGCCTACATCTAAACCATGCTCACCAATAGAATTGCAACAACAATAAAGAGAATGTTTTGATAGCAAATAATTTCTGGGACCATCTCTCAAATGGTTCTGAAACTACAGGAAACAGGACCATGATACATTAGTCCGATATAACTGCAACACTACTGAAAGCAATCCTATCATCCGAGAGATTATAAACATTCTCTTAGATAGAAATAGTTTTATCTTCATGACTGATAATAAATGGAGTATTGAGTATTGAGTATTGGGAGAAAACTCTGTGATACCTCATACTCCAGTTACTTTCAAAGGCATGAACCTAAAACCATTTATATCTGGGCAATATTAGTGACATAAAAAAGAAATGATAAGTCACAATACAAAGTAAGACTATATTAATTTTAAAATATCTCAGCTACTCAGCAACCTAAGTAGTCTATCTCAGGTAACATTTATGTGCATAAATATTTATCTACATAAACACATACACTTCTTTTTTTTGAGACAGAGTCTCACCCTGTCATGCAGGCTGGAGTGCAGTGGCACGATCTTGGCTCACTGCAACCTCCGCCTCTCAGGTTCAAATGATTATCCAGCCTCAGCCTCCCAAGTAGCTGATATTACAGGCACCCACCACCATGCCCAGTTAATCTTTGTATTTTTAGTAGAGACAGGGTTTCACTATGTTGGCCAGGCTGGTCTCATACTCCTGACCTCATGATCTGCCTGCCTCAGCCTCCAGAAGTGCTGGGATGATTACAGGTGTGAGTCATCGTGTCTGGCCCACACACATACATTTATAACAGCCCTCCCCAAAATGGAACTCTTATCAAGGATGCACTTAACAGAAATTGCTGTGGAGCCTACCTCAACTCTCCTGATAGAATGGTTCTTACATTTCCTAATCTCAATTATTTTCTTTTTTCATAGACACGAATTTTTCCATATCCAGGGAGTAATACTTGCTTAAAAATTCTTCAATTTTATCTTAGTAATAACATATTCATGCATAAATTTATCAGAGCTTCTTTTCTATATAGGCCATTCTTACATAGCTATCCATTTCCCTGTTTATGTGTATTTCAAATAGATGTCTTATGTTTCCCATCCTAAACTATAAGCTAAATAAGGTGTTCCATAGCATGGAAAGAATATATGTGACATCTCAGGTAGGTGATTGAACACAAAGACATGGCAAAAACAGTACCCAAGTGGAGAAAAACTTAAAGTGTGGCAAAACCAAGCCAGGCCAGTAAGATATCCATTGACTGGACATTTGTAAATGTTAATTGTAAATTTGTAAAGTGCTCATTGTAAAATTCTTAGCAACATTGCATTAAATAAAATATAAACATAAGATGTTCTAAGGACAGATTCCAGGCTGATCACAGGCACTATGAATAGACATAACATGACATGAACAGAAGAAGGGAGTATTTAAAGTACATCAAGTATATGCTAAAAAAAAAAATCAATCAGAAATGAAGGACTAGGAGTATATAAAAAAGGATAAAAAATTTGATATACCAAAGAATAGACAGTGTAAGAAGCTAAAACAATCTGTAACACAGAGAGCTGCTAAGTACATTTGGAAAGAATATTAAAAAAAAAGTGAAATTTATTTTTTGGATAAACAAATGATTGATCACGGTATTGTACACAGGCCAATCATCCTTCTTCCATGGCTTCTAATTATGGAAATCTATTACTGATTCTGAACTAATAAAGTCAGAAAAGCAGTCTGTTTTTATACTAGTGAAGAATAAATGAATAGGGAAATGTCTTTTTTAAATGTCTATGCATTAGGATTTCTGAAATAACTTGTCTTAAATATTCTTCATAGTGAACTAGAATATGCACTTCATATTAAAACATATAAAATCATGATTTTTTAAACTAAATGTGATAATATGAGAGAGTACAGAGCACTTGAATATATAGGGAGTGACCAGTAGCGTAGTACAGTGGCATAAGACTGGCTAGTATGGATTAGAATAAGATCAAGTTCAGTTAAATCTCAAGATAGGAGTCCCCATATCTTCCCTTGCAAAATCCTAGAATAAAGAAAAATAAACTCTTCCCTCCTAGCACTCTGAGACTGTAGTTTCAGTTGGCTTGCTGAAAAGGAAAAGTTTCTTAGAACTTTTATGTTTTATTTTAAAAGTCATACACAGTTTGCATTCTATTCTATAGATTGTGTCAATATAAAAAGCTATAGTCCATTACTTTCAGCCTAGTTAAATTGATAATTCTGAAATATGCCACAAGTTGATTTATAATTTCAATAAATTTACGTTTACACAGAGCTGCATACTCTTGTGGTTAAATGTACCTGCCTTTGGTGAAGCACAGATGAAGTCAAAAACATAGTACTTTAGAGTGGGAACCTGTAAGACGTTCTTCGGCCCTTGGTTTCCTGCAGGTGGAGCACTGGCAAAATCAGAGGTGACATTGGACTTTTCTTCCAGCATTGCTGAGAGTCAAATGCTGACCTCACCAAGGTGAACCTTATTCCTGGTAGTATCATACTTAACACTTTCTCATTATCCTTCTCAAACCTTCTCGAGGTTTTTCTTGTTGTTGTTGTTGTTTATTTATTTGCTTTTGCATTTTTTTCTTTTTTTCTTACTACATGACCACTTGCCCTATTAAATATCCAGCCTTAGTAACTAAGTTGGAATATTATTACAGATTATATTTTGGCTGTATTTTCTTAACATTTACAATAATGCTTTCTTCATACTGTAAATTCAGCAACTCAAATAAAAATTTCAAAATCTTTCCATTTTTCCCGTTATTCTGTAAGATATCTTTTCTTAAAAGGTGGTGGTTACACTAAAAATACAGGTTTTGTGAAGAACGTGAATAACCACCTTCTTTTGGCTTCAGTGATGGTCTGAACTCTTTCTAAACTTGTTATTCTTTCCACTTGAATAATACACATTAAGAGATTGAGATTAGAAGTGTGGGGAGGGAAAGAAGTGGATATATAGAAATCATTCTCTGAGCATATTTATTATGCCAACAATGCAATTTAATGTATCTTTGATGATGTGCAATTAGGTATTAAAATTTCTCATAACTAGAAATGTTATTTGTCAGTGGGAATTACTGTAGATAATTTCAGGTAACCTGGGGATAATTTGGCTGGTTAAAAGGCTTGGGTCAATATTTAAAGCCCTCAATTTAGGGAAAAATTGATTTGATCTTCACATTAATCTTCTGCTTAACTATATTGGGAAATGCAAATTCACATAAAACCTGAGGAGAAAAACAGTAACTATTTCATAATTTTCAATACATTTCTAAAGATACAGTATCACAACTAGAAAATAGTCCTTCACATCATAATGTACTGATATTTTTTTCTAAAGGGTCAATTATCTTTGCACAAAGGTATGGAGTTTTATTTACATTAAATTACTGGTTTAAATTAGATTCCTAATTATTATTTTAATTAGTTGCCCTGATTTTTTTTCCCCCGGTTTTCTCCCTCACACTGGTGTTTCCAAAGGGAAGTTGTTGGGTTGTTGTGGGTAGAAGGATAGCTGTGCTAATACAGTTGGATAGATTTACCAAATACATGTGCCAATACTACATTCCTAATTCTTATCACATTCCATGTTCTTGGTATCCTTTGGTGTTTTTATGCTATTAAGAATATCATAACACATTAAAATAAAAAGTACAATAAGTGATGTTAGAGGTAGATGGTTGTGGGTAAAGAAAGGATGGATTTTGGGTAAGTATATATAGTACTATCATTTAAACTATAATATGTGGCTACAATTCAATACAAACTGTACTCACTGTCAATAGACAAGCCACAAGCAGTTCATAAAGTGACAAGAAATTGAACCAGCAATCATTACCTTTGGATTACAGATGCATTCATTTAGGACATTCTTTATGGAAATGCAACAACCATGGCACTAAATATAGCTGGGGTGAGAATGGAGTTCATAGAAGACACGCACGTGTAGACAGCTCTAGTAGCTTGAAAGAACAGTGAAAAACGTTTGCTTTGTAATTTACATGATCAAAAGTTAAACGTATGGATATTGTCTTAAAATATTTCATTGTAATGAGTTAACAGTCAACAAAAATGTGTATTGAATTTTTAGAGATTCAGTATTGTTTTGAAATTTTAATGGTGACTCCAATTTAGATCAAGTATATTTAAGATGATGTACTATGAGTTTTTTATCAAAATGATTAGGATAAAATATTTGGTTACATATCTCACAGTAACAAACATTTTACAAAATCAAAGGACAAAACAAACCAAAAAACCCCACCCTGGTTACTGATGTGCTGATACTCACTTAGCATGACGAATATCTGGCAGAGACCTCTCTAGAGCAATATTGTTGCTGACAAAAATATTGAAACCATTTTCCCTGTAAGCTGAGTCATCATGGTCCTCTTCGGTAAGGGGGTAAGGTTTCCCATGTTCACCTTTCCCTAGCAGGAGAAAACAGAATGAGATTACTCTCTCTATAAAAACCATTTTATCTTCTAGAACAGATATGAAGACTGGAATGTGTATCATCACCTATTGCTGTGCTCTGCAGAAGGAGCTAGTACTAAGATTTTATTACATTATTTTAATTGCCTTTAAGTAAATGAAATATACTCAATATAAAAAGCAAACAACCCAACAGTCAAAAGTGTAATCTTGCATTGCAGAGAGAACCACTGCCAAGATTTTTAGTGTATGTTTATTAATATTTGTATGCAGATTCTAATACACATATTTATTTGCAATTTGGCTTTTTCCAGAATTGTATATTTTTTATTTAATTCCAATAATTGATGTTATTTGATTATATTCCAATTTATACCATTCCACTGAAAATATACTATAAAGTTATTTCTAATTTTCCCGTTACAAACAATGAGCATCTTTGCTTTCCACGGTTACGCATTTTTAAAGGGGAAGCAGAAATTTGTAGGAATGTAATTACTGAGATACCTTTAACATATGCCTAACAGTTATCACACACCCTGAGAACATTGTATATTTCCAACTTCATCAGTAAAATATGTATTCCTCATATTTTAATTTGGTATTTCTTGATTATTACAAATTAGTAATTTCTTATATCATTTCTATTTCTTTTATTGTAAAATGATTGTTCAAGCATTTTAAAAACAATTTGTGTTCTTTATGTACTATATTCATTATATTTTTATTCACTACCTATGTTGCAAATATTTTATTAAATCTAATTTTTTCATCTAGATTTTATTTTTTCTTTCAAAATTTCTCATTTTATATTTTATATATTCACAAAGAAGGCCATCCCTAGTCCAATATCATTTTTGGAATCCATTTATACATTCAGAGTTTTAGTAACATTCTATTTTTATTTTACCTATTAAAATTTTTGAAACATCTGGAATATGTTTTGGTGTGAGAAGTGAGATAAACATAATTTTTGTTTTTTTCAAAACATTCAGGCAGTTATAAAAATACTATTTATTGAGGCTGGTTACAGTGGCTCAGGTCTATAATCCCAGCACATTGGGAGGCCAAGGTAGGCTGATCACTTGAGACCAGAAGTTCGAGAGCAGCCTGGCTAAACTGGTGAAACACCATCTCTACTACAAATACAAAAATAGCCAGGCATGGTGGCACACAGCTGTAATCCCAGCTACTGGGGAGACTGAGGAACAAAAATCGCCTGAACCCGGAAGGCAGAGGTTGCAGTTAGCCAAGATTGGGCCACTGCACTCCAGCCTGGAGGACAGAATGAGACATTGTCTTAAACAAAACGAAACAAAACAAAAGGAAATAAAAAACATGAATTGAGTGATTGGCTTCTTTCTTCCCTGCTTTAAAAGGCTATGTACAAAATTTTGTATACTTGTTTGTGCATATTTAAAAATTACTATGGTATTTCACCGTTATGCCAATCCTTGCATTGGAAACATCATAGTAGTAACATATTTTAATACATGTGAACCCTTTTCTTATCATATTCTTTTTCTAACTAATAACATGTTTATTTTTCAATGTGAGCTGTTTAATAAAATAGCCTTCCTAAACTTTGTTTTTTATATTACATTAGATTTTCTATTCATCCTTATATAATTAATATTTTCACATATATTAGCTATTTTTCAAATGTTCTGCCCTAGGACCTCAGTAGCATTTCATGCGGTTTTCATTCTTTTAGCAATTTTTGGTAAATTTTTTTGGGTGTTTTTTGTCTTCACTGTATTGTGTGTAGTATTCTTTCTTTCACTACTTTTTTCTAAATAAAACACACTCAAGATATTTATTTTTATACTTCTTAGTCACTGTACTGATCTATTTTTTAAATAATTTAAAAAATCTCTAGTGTTTTACAGATACACAATATGTTCATTTCAAATCATAATATTTTTGCCTCCTTTCTTTATAACTCATATGATTTCTCATCTAACTAGATAGTTAGAAATAAATAATTATTAACTGTCATTTATTCTGGTATTCACTTTAATACAATTGCTATTAAATATTACAGATTTAAGCTTAGTAATTAATATGCATTTCTATATGTATATGTAATAATATGTATTTATAATTCATCATTTAAGAAATAATATTTCTAGCGCTCTTTAAAAATAAGAATATTTCTAGTACCCTTTTAAAAAAGGTAGTTATTAATAGGCTATGAAAGTTTAAAAAACAAATTTAAAAATATTTAGAGATTTTAATATTTTTCACTTTAGTAAGCTTGATTTACAAATATGTTCATTTTGTATTACTAGAATTCAAGATTTTGCTAGAAAATTTGTTTTCTATATCAGTGATTCCTCAAAAAAGAAAAAGCATCTTCTTTGTCTTAGTTTCTTGCTACTACTGCCCTTAAATTCAGCAGCACTGACAGCGAAGATCAAATGTCTGGGGATTGATTAGAAATTACATTCTCAAAAGGCAGACTGAAAACCTCTCCAATTAAAGGAAGAGAAACAAAAATGTTTAAATGTGCCACATTTGGTGTCAAAAAAACAAAAACAAAAACAAAACTACTTCTTCTTTGCTTCCCTGTTTGATTTCTTAGGAGAAAATATCACTTACTACTTTGCAACCAAAATGGAAAATAAACAATCAGTGGGAAATTTCATGTATATAACAGCTAGTTACTGAGCATCCATGATGTACAAAGTATTGCATTAAATTACTTTATATATATTATTTAACACAGTTATGCCATAAAATAAGCATTGTTCTACCTAGTTACATGTAACTAAATAAAAGAGAGACTAATGTTCACTAGGCACTTCCATAGTTAGAAATTGACCATATAGCATGGGGAAATGCATAAAAGGTGTAAATCTTTCTCCCATTAAAGACAAAATTAGCTATAAGTTCTATTGACCTTATATAGTCTCTGATATTAATTAGATCTATGTCATTCCATAAATCATATTTTTTTAAAAATTGTATGCTGGGTGCAAGTCAATAAATGTGATATACCACACACACAGAATGAAAAATAAAAATCATATTACTATGTCAATAGATGTAGAAAAAGCATCTGACACACTCTAGCCTCCCTTTATGATGAAAGCCCTCAGTAAAATTGTCATAGAAGAGACATAACTCAAGATAATAAAACTCATTTATGACAAACCCACAGCCAACATTATACTGAAAGGAGTTGGGGGAGTTGAAAGCATTCTCCTGAGAACTGGAACAAGACAAGGATGCCCATTTTCACCACTTCTGTTCAACATAGTACTGGAAGCCCTAGCCAGAGTAATAAGACAAGGGAAAGAAATACAGGGTATCCAAATTGGTAAAGAGGAAGTCAAACTGTCATGGTTCACAAATGATATAACTATGTACCATGAAAACCCCAAAGACTCATCCGAAAAGCTCCTAGTTTACTAGTGTACTGAATTCATTTATCAGTAAATGAAGTTTCGGTATATACACAATCAATGAAAACAAATCAGTAACACTGTTAGGCACCAACAGTGACCAAGCTGAGAATCAAATCAACAACTTAACCACTGTTACAACAGCTGCCAAAAAAAAAAAAAACTTAGAAATGTATCTAATCAAGGAAGTGAAATATTTCTACAAGGAAAACTACAAAACATTGCTGAAAGAAATTACTGATGACACAAACAAATAAAAATACACCCCATGCTCATGGATGGATAGAATCAATATTGTAAAAATGACCATAATACTAAAAGCAATCTATACATTTGATGCAATTTCCATTAAAATGCCATCATAATTTTTCACAGAACTAGAAAAAGCAATCCTAAAATTCATATGGAACCAAAAAAAGATCCCACATAACCAAAGAAAGACTAAGAAAAAAGAACAAATCTGGAGGCATCACATTACCTGACTTCAAGGTATACTACAAGGCTATAGTTACCAAAACACCATGATACCAGTATAAAAACAGACAGGTACACCAGTGGTACAGAATAGAGAACCCAGAAATAAAGGTAAATACTTATAGCCAACTGATTTTTGATAAAGCAAACAAAAACACAAAGTGTAGAAAAGATATCCCACTCAACAAATAGTGTTGAAATAATTGGCGAGTTACATACAGAAGAAAAAAACTGGATCCTCATCTCTCACTTTATACAAAAATCAACTCAAGGTGGATCAAATACTTAAATCTAAGACCTGAAATCCTAAAAATTCTAGAAGATAAAATCAAAAAATCTCTTCTAGACATTGGCTTAGGCAAAGACTTCATGACCAAGAACCACTAAGCAAATGCAACAAAAACAAAGATAAATAGTTGGGACATAATTAAGCTCAAAAGTTACTGTGCATCAAAAGAAATAACCAGAAAACAGACAATGCACAAAGTGGGAAAACATCTTCACAAACTATGCATCTGACAAAGTACTAACATCCAGAATCTACAAGGAACTCAAGAAAATCAGTCAGAAAAATAAATAATAATTCCATAAAAAAGTGGACTAAGGACATGAATAGACAATTCTCCAATGAAGATATACAAATGGACAATAAACATATGAAAAAATTCTAAACATCAATAACTATGAAAGGAATCTGAATAAAAACCACATGATACCATCTTACTCCTGCAAGAATGACCACAATTTAAAAATAAAAACATAGTTTATGTTCATGTGGATGTGATTAAAAAGGAACACTTTTACGCTGCTGGTGGTAATGTAAACTAGTGCAACCACCATAGAAAACAGTATGGAGTTTTTTTTTTTTTTTTTAACTATAAGTTCTGGGGTACATGTGCGGAACATGCAGGTTTGTTACATAGGTATACATGTGCCACGGTGGCTTGCTGCATCTATTCCCCCGTCATCTACATTAGGTATTTCTCCTAATGTTAACCCTCCCCAATTCCCTCTGCTATCCCTCCCCTAGCATCCCATCCTTTGACAGGCCCAGTGTGTGATGTTCCCCTTTCTGTGTCCATGTGTTCTCATTGTTCAACATCTGCTTATGAGTG